GGGACAAAACCTACCTCACGGGTTCAATGAACGCTGTCTGGGTGATGGGTACACCCCGTAGCTGTGACGCAAGCATTGCAAAAGCAAGCCATGTAACCAAAACATCTGCACTCCCTTAATATATATATATTTTTGAGACAGAGTCTCACTTTCTTGCTCTCGATAGAGTGCTGTGGCATCATAGCTCACAGCAATCTTAGGGATCAAGTGATTCTTTTGCCTCAGCTTCCTGAGTAGCTGGGACTACAGGTGCTCCCCGCCACGTCTGGCTATTTTTAGAGACGGGGTCTTGCTCTGGCTCAGGCTTGTCTCAAACCTGTGAGCTCCAACAATCCACCTGCTTCGGTCTCTCAGAGTGCTAGAATTGCAGGGGTGAGCCACCACACCCGGCCTTCTTTAATATGTTTTGAAAAAATAAATAAATCAGTGAAAATATTAAAAAACTGCCGATTCTGAGGAGCATGGGGTCCCACCTGGTTTAAAACTCCGTCTTTTTTGGAGCGTCCGCTTTCTCCACACCCCTTCTCCCCTTTTCCCACCAGGGCTTCGCACATTGTTCCGGCATAAGTAACGGGCACTCTCTGTCTTCTCTGGCTTTTCCTAAATGTAGCTGCCGAGGTATTTTTAAATTGATGTGACATCCTATAAGTTCCCAAAGTTGACTGTTGTAACATGCTCAGCTTGGTGGGCATTGTGGAACCATCGACTCCATCTAGCTCAGATTATTTCTGTCAGTCTGGAGGGAAACCCCCTGCCCTTTACACCATCACCCCCATCTCTGCCTTTCTCGGCGCCTGACGATCACCAGGAGCAATCTGCTTGTTCCAGATGTTCTGTGTAAGCGGAATCGTGTGTGGTTATTTGTGACTGGCTTCTTCCACTCACACACACAGTGTCCATGGGGCTGTCCACCTTGTGGCAGGTACCAGGCCTTCTCCTGTTCAATCTCGGATGCGTCCTCCCCAAGGAAAAGACACGTGACCCAAGCTAGGCCAATGGAGCTCTCCCAACGCATTTTAAAGACACTTTTTTTTGGGGGGGTGTGTGTGAAAAATATGATAAACATTTAAAAATGAATCCCCATGTGAACATACCCAAGTCAGGGGCTAGAATATTCTGGCTTCCTAAGTGTCCCGTCCCACTCCCAAGTCCTCCCTCCCTCCTCAGGGGGACACATCCTGACTTTTGTGTAATAGTTTTCCTTTTTTAAAAGTAATAGTTTTACCACCTGTGTCTATATGCCCAAATAATATAGTTGGATTTGGCCTATTTGTGAACTTTATATAAGTAGAATCCAAATGGTATATATTATATTTCTGCTGCAGACCATCCAGCTGTCTCATCCCAGGGATAGTCACCTGTCAAGCCTGGTCAGAAGTTTTTGCCATAGAGACACCCAGAGCTTTTGTTTGAACCTACCAGAGATAATATCTACTATCTACAACCAATATCCCTACCTGATCCATAGAATGTGGCAATTCAGAGTCACTGTCCCTTCCCTGTGTACCCTGACGCCCGGGAGCTCCTCCCCCGACACCCGGGAGCCCCTCCCCACCCTACCTTGGAAATAGTGTCTTGTTCACCCAACCTCTGTACCTCTCTGGGTGCCCCTCCCTTACCTGCTCCCTCCCTGGGTGCCTTTGAAAGCCCACTGAAGATCAGACCTGCATCCTTTTTAATAGACAAGGGACAAAAGCTGACAAAAATACAATATTTGTGCGTTAAGAGTTTTCATGTCTGTGCATAAAATTGCTTTGCCCCACAATACTTTGGGGACACTCTTCCTTCCCTATCAGGGCCAAGGAAGCAGCTGCTTGCAATGAATCATTTTTTCTCCTGATCACTGAGTGGTGGTTAATCGGGGGTAGTGCCACCAAGGGGCTGTTTGGAAATCCTCTGGGGATGGTTTGGTTGTCATGAGGACCCAGGAGCTACTGCATTTAGGGGCTGGACACCTGGAACGCAAACTGTCCTGTAGCGAGTGTGGCAATGTGTGTGACTGAGAACCCTCCAATGATGGCAGAGTGCCCAGGTGAGGGACAGGGTGCTCGCTGCTGACCCGGGGGCTCAGAGCCCGCTCAGAGTGTCTGCAGCGCCCTGGCCGAGAACTCGCAGTCCTGAGGACGGACGGATGCAGCCACAGATGCCTGGCCAGGCCCAGATTTCCCGATTCTGGTGGAACTTCTTGGCTGACTTTCGCTGGGGTTTCTCCTCCACACTGCTGAGATTCCTCAGTCTGCGTAATTATTGCCTCATTCTGAGGATCAGGACTAAATTGTCTGGGTGGGAGGATTGTGGCTGTGCAACTTCCAGCAAATGTGTGTATTTTCTCCACTTTGTGTGGGGAGGAGCTCCTTTCTCTCCCCAGACGGGCTGG